ACTAATCAAGCAAAATTTCTATAGTTCTAAAGATCAATGCTTCAAAATATCAACGGTTCGATATCTCTAATGATCAATAGTTCAAAATATCGAATGTTCAATATATCTGTCACATTGATGTACAACATATAAATAATAAGTATAAAAATAACTAACCAATAAAAAATAAAAATAGATATTGTCCAATAAAATATACTATACGAAGTGTCCAATAAAAATAAATATAAAAATTGTTCAATAAAATATAACTAACAAAATAAACTATAACAATATTAATGAATACTTAAAAATTATCTAAAAATACTTGTTTTGGTTTGTAGTATTCAAATAATTTCAAAAAATAATTTCAGCTACTAATAAAATAAGTCAAAATAATTTCAAATTTAATTTTGACAAGTTAATTTTAGCAAATTACAGTTAAATCTCTCTATAATCACATTTATTTATAGTTACACCTCTCTATAATTACTCTATTTTGCTTTCTCATTTATATATAAACATAATAAAAAAATCTTTCTATAATCACATTCTCTCTATAGTCACCAAATTTTGCTTTTCCAAGAATGATGACTATAAAAAGATTTGACTATATTTAATTAAATAATATTATTTCAATAATTATTCTTAGTTAGTAATAATAATAACAAAGATTTTTTCATTTTGTTCTTCTTATAAATAAGAAATATTTATTAATAGTTAAAAATTCAAATAACAAAAATTAAAAATACTTAAAATTCAACTTCAATAAATTTAATATAACAATTTGTTTAGTATAATATGATATAAAACTTAATAATTTAATAATAATAATTTGTATAGTATAATATAATATAAAGTTCAAAGTTAATAATAATGATTTGCTCAGTGCAATATGATATAAAGCTATTAGTAATTTGTTAGATACAATATAATATAAGATTACTTATATACAAGATTTAAAGTATATAAAGAAAATATAAGAGATGAAAGATATTTGAAAGAAGATTTTTGTTAAAAGAAGTTTTTATTTTCAGTTATAGTATATCAAATTAAGACTCAAATAACATTTCTATTTATACATTTTTTGAAAATATAATTTTAAATAATAATAATTATCTAAAAGATAAAATTACTAATTGAAAAGATATAATAAAAATAAAAAATAAAAGTAAATTAAAAAATAAAATAAAAGATAAAATAATTTGAAAAATCTTTAGTATTATATGAATATTTTTGAATATTTTATATTTTTAACTATTTTTGGAATTAATAATTTTTATATTATTATTATAATTATAATATTATATCAGACTGAACAATCTCTAAGTTGCTTCAAAAATTCAAAATTTTTTTGAGTAAAATAATGTTTCTAGAATTAAATCTAATAATTTATTAATTAAACTTTTTTTATATTGTAGAAATTATACTATATAATATTTTTCTATATCTAATATTCAAATATAAATTACAATTTGATCTTTAAAAATAATAAGGGATATATCTTATAAAAAAGTATTTATATTTGATTTTTATAGTAATTTATTTATTTAAAACAATTTTATTATGTTATACAAAATAAAAAAATAATATTATTTGAATTATATTATCAAAAAGAATTTAATAAAAAAAGCATTAAAAAATTATACTTCAATAAAATAATAATAATATAATTTTTATTATATAATTATTTTTCTTTTAAAAAAGGCTGAAATAAAAATATATATTTAATAATTATGTTATTGTTAATTTAAAGTATATTTATAATATTTAAGATATATTAAACATATTTTAATTTGAACAAAATTTTGGTAATTATATAATACATGTATATATATATAATTTATTACTTTAATTAGCAAAAACATTTACCTGATAAATGAAAGCATTGTTTGATCTATAAAAAATGTATGAAAGAATATTCAACTATTTATTTTCAAGAAAGTGAATGTTAAGTAATTAAGAAAAAATATTCAGCTGAATTTTTTGCATTAGAAATTATATAGATTAAATATTACTTTTTTAGCATTTCCATATTCAAATCTGGATTGGCATAAAAGGAGAATACTCTATATATTTATTTTTTGAGAGTATCATGTCTTACTAAGAAGCATTTCAAAAATAAAATTTTTTCAAGTTATTTGTTAAAAATTTTCTCTTTACAAAAAATTTCAATGCCATTATTTTCGCCGGGTACTGTATTTTATAAATTCAATGACTTTTTGACTAGAAACAAATACAAAATTTAATCCGTAAAATAGGCTTTTATTGACCATTGACATATCGATATTCGTTGTATTTACTTCTTTTATTGAATTCATAAAATACAATCTATTGATGCCGTTCTCATATACAATTTGCAATATTTTGTGTTTTCAAGTATTCTCACCGGAGAATTTGTGTTCTCATGAAACGATGAGAACGCTGAGAATACAACACTGGACTGGTCATCTGAATTTCAATCGCTGATGTAGGGCTTGTCTAAAAACCTGTTTATCATTGAAAAAAGGCCATTGTTTGGCGTCAATTCGTACATGTAGCCATGGCGAAAAAAAATTCTCGAATATGTGATTCCGATTTATCCGATGTATGCCGATATGCCCCTTAAAATTGATTGACCAATCAAATCGCAAGATCAACGTGTAACCCAAAAATGCTAATTTTTGAAAAATATAACAAAAAGATCCACATAACTTTAACTCTGACTTTAACTCTGACCCTTAACCCTTAACAAAAACTCTAATTAGAAGATCGGATGGATCGGAATCACGTGTTTTTCGCCATGACTAGGGTTTTAGCACATGTAACACTATTATTTATAGTAACGTGAAAAAATTCATTATATGAAATTCAAGTTTTTTCTCTCGATGTCAATAAAATGGAATGATAGCGTCACCACATTCTAATTTCTCATGTGTTTCGTGCCATTAGACATCAAAGAGAAACTTCAAAATCTCTAAAGAAAGACTCCAAATTATTTTGACCGTCTAAAAAGAGTAATACCTGTTATAATGACAGGTGTTTTTAGTGACACATATGGGTGTAGATTACCACAAAAAATGATATACGTATTACTAGATGCATGCATGCATGCTAATGGCTCGTTTTTGGGTGCAATAAACAGAAAATACATGTAACTCGTGAATTCTTTATTGCGACAATAATCCCTTTTGCTCTTATTATTACATGTCAAAGTCTAAATATATCATGAATCGAATTATTCCACTCGTTTTCTTAATTATCACATTTGCTGTAGTTTTGCTTGGCAAGCAACGTTTAATTTCAGTTTCCGTTAATCACGAAATCGTTAACGTTGCTGATAAAGATGACTGTAATAATTTACGTTTAATTCAGACTGATGAAGATGAGCCCGCAGAATGGATGACTGAGAAAGAGGTCTGGAAATTGCTTAGGAAAGGAACAAAGTTTATGGATATTACGGATAACGAAGATTTAGGAACGGTGGTGAAATCAAAGAGTTCCCGTCGTATGTACATTGATATTTTCTGTTGTTGATCTAAATTCCTATTTACTGTAACTTTTTAATTTGCATAATATTTTAGAATTTCCAATCAAACCTTCATACCAGAAAGAAGTGTCTCATTACAAAGAGAAGCTTTCAACTAAATATATGAAAGAATCATTAAAAAACTTCACATCGTTTCATAACCGATATTATCGTTCGGCACATGGTGCAGCCTCTTCGATTTGGCTATATAAAGAAATTAAACGTATTGCCGATAGAGCCGATGATTATGTCCGAATATCCGTGAGAAAGTTCAAACACAAATGGGTTCAAATTTCAATAATCGCAAGATTCGAAGGAAGTGATCGTAACAAGGAGGATCAAGTTGTCATTATCGGTGCTCATCAAGATTCAGTTAATATGTGGATGCCAACTAATGGACGTTCCCCCGGTGCTGACGATGACGGAAGTGGCACTACTACCATTCTTGAAGCCTTTAGGGTGTTGGTCGAAGGTGGTTTTAAGCCTCATTTACCAGTCGAATTTCATTGGTATTCAGCCGAAGAAGCTGGTTTATTGGGCTCACAGGCAATCGCTAAAAAGTACGAGCGTCAACATAAAGATGTCATTGCAATGTTACAGGTAATTTTAAATAAACACATAATTGAATTTTCTCGTTTGCGATATTCAATTTCGTCTTGTCTTATACAGAATGATATGACAGGCTATGTTGGAAACCGTCAAGAATCTTTTGGCATCGTAACTGATCATGTGGACCGAAATTTGACTGATTTTGTAAAAAGTCTTATTGACGAGTACACCGACATTCCTTGGGCTAATACGAAATGCGGGTAATTACGATACTTTTATCGTTATTCTTTTTAACTTATCGATCGCGATTTAATCTACATCATTTGTTTGTTAGATACGCATGTTCGGATCATGCTTCATGGCGTAAAGCAGGATATCCTTCTGCGTTTGTAATTGAAAGTAAGATTGACTATAACAATCCGTATATTCATACTGTTAAAGATACTATTGACCTTCTTAATTTCAACCATATGTTGGAGTTTTCAAAGGTATATATTCTATATCGATATGTTGAGTTATTTACAGTTGTTAAATTTGAAACTTATTGTGTGTAAATTATTTAATAGTTGGCGGTCGGTTTCGCTGTCGAGTTGAGCCATATTGATGAATCTGAAAAAATATAAAGTTATTTTATCTATGCGTCTACATTACAATTTGATGACGAAAACAATACGTATTAGCGTTAGTTTTTGCAAAATAAAGTAATAAGTTACGATGTGAATTTACCGCAAGGCTTAGAATTATTATAAAAATTAAGTTTATGAAAAATTACGTGCTCACTACCCTTTATCGTTATTTTTCTAGACGGACGAAAAACGCGCAAACTATAACAAATCATTATTCCTTCTTAATAAGAGTTATTAAATAAAATAAAACCAATTATCGCTCAGACAGTATAATATCGATATATATTGGCTGCCAAGAGTTATGCATCACAGAATGTTTTATGCAAACAAAATTCTAGCACCCCAACATCAATTCAATGTCTATACGTAGTTTCTACGCTCATTTTAAAGATAACAATAACGATAATAACAAAAAATAATCCCATTTGGGCAAATTGAGAGATCTACAGTCAGGGCTCGAATTTACCAAATTGAATACATACAGCGAGTCTAATTACTTGATCAATTCCCTAATTAAATCATCACTCATTAATACCTTAACTAATTCCTCTTCAGTCAGCCTAATTCCTTTCTCAACTATGAACCTGCCAAATAAAAGAGAAAAGGAATTGGTCTGGGAACAAGCGCGATTCCATTAAATCGCATAGTCGTTAAATCGAGCCCTGAATGTACACGATTTTTTAATTAGTGAAATCCGGAAAAAAATCCAATTAATAAAATTGTTCTCTATGAAACTATCTACAATCAGACATCGGGTCGGGGATATATATGGTGCTGGAAGTCTATATACTCAAAAATCACGAGAGATCTTTAAAACGCATCAACTTTTTGTAAAAATAATATTTTAAAAGCTGACCGGTAACTTTATTCTTTGTAACGAGCTCTATAAAGTTACCGGCCAGTTTTTTAAAATATCATTTCTACAAAAAGTTGATGCGTTTTAAAGATCTCTCGTGATTGTTGAGTATAGACTTCCAGCACCATAGTAAAAATTTGAAAAATATTGCTATTTCAAGAATTGAACTTTAACGTTAACGTTAATCAGTGATCGTTAAATCTAAATCAAGGTTTACCAGTTTTCAGCCAAATGTAAAAATTTAAAATTTAACATTGATTATGTACCACCTGATTTTTCTTTAGACCCCTGATAAATCTCCCTACACTTTATTATGGTGCTGGAAAGTTAAACTCGACAATCACGTGATTTGTTGCAATTTTCTATCCGGGAAGCCTATGAACAGTGTTTCGGAACAGCGCTGAATCAAGTGACCCTTTTGGACAGTGCAGGAATGCGCTAAAGCGTTGTGAACACGTGATATGTGTTAAAGATTGATTTTACCGTTAGAGTTAGAATTAAGTTAGAGAGGAGGGCTAGTGTGTATGTAAAATTGCCTCACCGATATTTTAATTAGTGCTCCAAATAGATTAAAGCATACATTTTCCATATTTCATTTTTTACGTTTGTGTTTTCTAGGTTGATAAAAGTTACGTATTCTTATTGGCTTGTTTCTCGGACAGATCACTGCACTTGCAACGTTTTAGTGCATTCCCCGATTTGGTTTCACTAACACCATAAAGGTGTGTCTTTCATTAGGTTATTTATTATAAGGTTCACCCTACCCACTCCACCTAATATATTATACAATATTATTTATATTGCTTATATAATCATCGTTGACCCCCTCCCCTAAAAAATCACCCGGTAAAAGACACTTCCCTAACCTGATCAAAAAACCTGCAGCGCACTATCCAAAATTTCATGTGATTTAGTAAGCTGCTAAAGGCCACGTAATTCAGCACTGTTCCGAAGCACTGTCCGTAGACTTCCCGATCAGAAAATTGAAACGTAATCAAAACGCCATTATTTTATCGGATAGTGCTTTGGCTATTTTGTGATCTTTAATCATTTATGATTGTTGAAACAGATATTATCGTATTTTTATCCTCGTTATAAAATCTCCAATAAACAAGAAGTTAAAGACATAAAAATTGAGATGTTTAATACTCATCATGCTAAACTCAGCTCTAATTTGGCAAAGCTTACTGGAAAAATAGCATTACCTGTTGATATGTGGATTGGAGAAGTTATCTAGAAATTACAATACATCATATAGATTTTTTATGGAATCTTTACAACTTTTTTTAGATATTATATCTTTTAGAATTAGTTATACAAGAATTAATATAGTTTATGCAATTATAAATATATTACAAGCACGTAATTTACTAGAAAAAATCTTAGCAATAACTACTGATAATACATCAATAATAATTATATGTGGATGAAAAATTGCAAAACAGATTGAAGATGATTTGGCACAGTTAACATTTGCTCATTACTATTATACAGTTCACATTATGAATCTCAGTATTCAATGAGGCTTAGAATTAACAAATGAATAAATTAAAAAAATCTGAAGTACATGTATAATAAAAGATATTAAAAGATTAGTTAAAAATGATAATTTACAATAATATTATTTTGCTAAGAAAATTACTTGTTTCAAGTCAATTTTGGATGTGAAATATAATGAAATTTAAAACAATTTATTGATTTAGAAATAGTTTTATTACTTCTTATTAAGGAATATAACTAATTCAAGCAATTTATCTAAATAAAAAAGATTTAAAAGAAGCAAAAAATAAATTTTCTTTATTAAATTTATTTATTAATTAATTATATTTATTTTGATTGTTATTTAAATATTTTAAATATGTTATTAAGTATTTATTTGCTATATTATATTCAATTTTAATTGATATTTGCTTTATATTTAATAATTTAATTAACAAAATAAAATTTACTCAAAGTGAATTTGTATTATTAATTTCTCAAAAATTAATGAATATTGATCAATAATAAATGAATTTTATTTATTTCGATTATTTTAGATTCTAAAACGAAATTATTAATTTTTTTTTGATAATTTAATTAATTAGATAATTACTTAAATATCATTATTTATCAAACAAAACTTTTTTTAATATAAATACTTATAATTTATAACTATAATTCAACAAATATCTCAATTATTTTTAAGTATATCTAAATTAGATCATTATTTAGCTTCATTATTTAATAAAAAATTTACTTTATTAAA